ATGATAGAGACGTTGGTGAGCAGGTAATGCAGGAAATAAAGAGAAGTAGTGGTCGGAAGCCGAGGGAAGAATCACGTGCACGGCGCTGTGGCAACTGCGGAGAGACTGGTCATAATACGCGCACCTGTAATATTATAGAGGAAGTATCTGAGGAAGAAATTTCTGAATAGTGTTTTTTAATTAGAGGCGTTGTGGTAGAGTTCTTACAATTTCAATCGCGAGTGTAGAAAATTTTGGCCGGTTCGCTTGTTTGGCCGGTTCGCTTGTTTGGCCGGTTCGCTTGTTTGGCCGGTTCGCTATACATGCACGTTNTTACAATTTCAATCGCGAGTGTAGAAAATTTTGGCCGGTTCGCTTGTTTGGCCGGTTCGCTTGTTTGGCCGGTTCGCTTGTTTGGCCGGTTCGCTATACATGCACGTTAACTTATCTTAATAAATATTATTTTTATTATTTTTATTAATAACTAGGTTCTTTAGAGTTTTTATATAGCCCACTTGAGTAAATATACTTACGCGAATTAGAAAGGTATATAGTATATAGTTAGAGCGCATATACTAGGTATTAAAAAAAGTAACTTAAATTAAAAAGTAAACAAAGATTAATTTACGCGAACATAGAAATATAGAACTATTATTACAAATCACTAAGAAAAAACCTGTTAGAGATAGACAGAAGCAGGACAAAGTTCCAATTAATCTATCTTACTGTCGTTACTCAATTAAAAAAGTGTGGAGGAGGTTGTGGCTGGAGGAAGGTGGCTAAGTCAAAAAGGCACTTTATCTCGCTTAGCAAAGTGAACCGACAATGCCGATCTAAGAGACTTTTAAACTCACGCTCAACCGACAGATATCGCATTAATGGCTTCCTCAAAAGGGAAGCACAATTCGCTCAAGCGAATGCACCAGGATATCTGGTGGAGGGCAAAAAGTAAGTGGGGACCGCATTCCTTACACCAGCGTAACTATCCCCATCACGCGAGACACCACTAACCTTATTCGCGCACCCACACAGAGCCCTACAACGACATCTTTGGAAGAGAAGAGAAGAAGAAGCGCAATATGAGCGAGGGGGGGGAGGAAGTAGTTGGCCTCGGCCTTCAATTGGGTATGGAAGCCTGGTTACACGACACTATCGCCGCATCTAACGAGGGTATCGCAGTGGGGGTGAATCTCGAGGATTCACCCGCAATATCAACGTTTGCCGCAAGGCGCAAGAGCAAGGGAAAGGAGAAAGCGGTCCAGGGAGAGGAGGAAGAGGAAGATACCGGCAAGAGTCACGGTGTTCTAAGGTTAATGGGGTCTCCAGATCGAGACCAAGGTGAAAGTGACTTCTTCGTCGGGGTCTTCCCCTCCAACTCTCCCCGAACGCCACTCCCGCCAGGAACGGAACTCGACAATTTCAAGCTCATCGATGAATTGCTGGAGGAGAACTATCGTGGTCAAGCTGTGTCGTTCGTCCGTAACGCCCGGAGTGCCAGGAATACCCTTACTACCAATACGCCATCCAATCCCACCGACGCAAGCAAAGCTAGCATAGCCACGGAATCAGCAGCTGCGGTACTTTCGCGATCCGTCTCAGACTTGTCCAACACCAGTGGCGATCAAGTGCTCTCTCCCAACGGCTTCTACACTCCGACTCGCATCAATCCTCGTGCAAACAAGAACACCAGCTTTGCTGCGTTGCAACGATCTACCGTCACTCCCAACACTGACCGAAGCCGCCAATTTATTCTTCCCGATCGCAAATCCTATCAAACTCGCCGTGGTCGTGTCGTTGTGGAAGCAGTTGGTGTTCACCACAGCCCCGAGTCCCCACACGCTACGTACAATCATAGGATCTACGCCATCCCTGCACCGCTCAGCAGCCCAACTCCTCTCATCCCGAAGCGCCGGCCCCTGAACAACCCAGAAATCATCCGCGGTCACTTGTACTTTACCAACGACGAACGTCAAGCCATCGCTGAACTCGTCGCTGCTAACCTCAGACCCTGTGAACACGGCAACAACAGTACCGATTGTCTCGATTTCGAATACGCACATCACGAAAACAAAGCCATGTCTACCTCCCTTCCACCAGAAGAGCGTCAGAAGATCATCAACAACAATCGATCTCTGCGCAATATCAAGAATGTATGTATTTCCCGCTTCACCATCTTACCTCTACTAATGACTTCCCACAGGAGCTCGAGAACTTGGCTGAGAGCGAAACGATCAGCGATGAAGTCTACGACTCCATCATGAAATCCCTCCCCAATGAATCTCCTCTCAACGGCTCTGCTCGCGCACCGCCACCCGCGGTCTCTACCAACGCAATGGCCGTCATGAAGGTCAACGACGCACCACCACCAGCCTACAACACACCACCCTCCCTCCCATCCCGCCAGAACACCAAGCCAGAGCTCACCCGCGCNGGCCGTCATGAAGGTCAACGACGCACCACCACCAGCCTACAACACACCACCCTCCCTCCCATCCCGCCAGAACACCAAGCCAGAGCTCACCCGCGCAATCGCACTCTACCGCTACGCCGAGCCCGGCGACTGCAACTTCGAAGTCGGCGACCACATTTCCGTCCTCGAATACATGAATGCCGACTGGTGGCTCGGCAAGAATATACGAACCGGACAAGAAGGTGTCTTCCCGGTGAATTACGTACAAGCTACCGCCAACGCTCCCTCTCCTCACGGCGCATATGGAAATGAAAAGGCGGGTGCATATCAAAGTCAGGTTCAACAAGGTCCTCCACCACCAGGTCCTTCGAATCCGTATAATTCTGCTGTCCCTCCTATGCAAATCGCTGAGCAGCCATCTGAGTCGAAGCCAGGAAAGGGTGGTGAGATGGGCAAGAAATTCGGCAAGAAGTTGGGGAATGCGGCGATTTTCGGTGCGGGTGCTACGATTGGTGGCAATATTGTCAATTCAATCTTCTGAGTGGTTTCTCTTGTATTATTGTCACTGCCTCAAAACGGTCGGCTGTCTATGTATGGGGTTGCGCTGGGATTGCATTTTCGGTTTCCATTTTTCTTCTCGTTTTCTTCATGTCTTTGGCGTCGATGTTTGGGCATGAGGATTGTTCGTTGAACGGCCGGCTATTATGATGATTGAGATGAGATGAAATCCTTTCAAAACAGCGAAGGGGATACATTTATAGTTCATAGGATTCCCATGATGGTGTGGTATGATAGTGGATATCTTAGGAAACGAATGAATTGAAACGGTAATTCGAATGTAAATTCTCGAGTGTTCACTTTTGCTTGCACAACCTATCCTATCCTCACATATCCTTTCTCTCCATTTGCCTAATTTCCCACTCTCATCACAAAATCCCCCGGTAACTCGTATTCTCCTTCCCCTCCCCTTCCCTCCCCCTCCCCC